GAGTACTGACATTCAGAATTATTTTACTAGCATAAAGTCATCAGTCCTAAAACTGGTTGGACACGCACTTCCACTTTTTCCTATCCTGAGCTAACCTACGCATTTCTCTAAAACTAGAACATCCCACATCCTTAACTATTTGTGAACAGTAATCTAATCAAGGTCTACCTTTTGTTTCTGCTTCTAATATATTTCTGCCTGTGAAAGTGTCCTACCAACCTATCTCGCCTATTTTTTATTGACTTCCGTAGAGTCCTCTGTTCTCCTATTCTTTCTAATACCACTTCACTTTTAACCTTCTCTATCCACGGTATCCTCATCATTCGCCAAGAACACTACATTTCGATCGCTTCTAAACTTTTCTTTTCCGCCTTTCCCACCGTCCATGTTTCGCACCCTTGCAGCGCCACGCTCCAGACATACACCTTTAACAATCTTTTTAGAATTTCTAAATTAATCATTCGCGAGCATAGATCTGAACCATTTATCAACAAACAAACAACTACATCTTTACGCTCTAATAAAATCTTTTGTGACAAACATGAGCTCTCCTTTCCTTACTCTACTAAACCACGACAAAACGCATTCCGTCTTCTCGGCCAGTGAAAGTAAAAGCGAATTTTCCTTTCTTTGACGGACATCGCGACGATTTATTAAATGTCGTGCAGCAAATAATAATTAACTCATGCGTAATGCATATGCTGTATTATTTCAAATTGTGCAAAATGAAAGATGAGTATCATCACTAATCATATATTATACATATAGAAGAAAACTGTTCGTCGTGGTAGGTTACTGCTTGACTAATTTGCATGCATTCATGCTTCATGACGCCATAAGAATGTAAATCTGCAATACTCAAGATCGATTAGCTGATATAATATTTAAATGGCAATCAGTTTGGTCGTCGCAAACCATTACAACGAATAGTGATATTAGAGAAAGAGATGAAGAGAAAGGTCCTTATCAGTACCACAAAAAATTAATCAAATGCTGACAATTCTCCTTATTATTTATCTCCTGTTTACCACGAGGACAAATATTTCTTCATCCTGAAGATGTCGTCCGCATGACCTGACGAAACATTAAGAGTAAGAAACCTTTGTCAACGATCGCAACAAATCCTAGAATTATTAACAATTACATCAATGATAATTGCGAAAACATGAACCAACTTAGTTCTTTGAATATCGTGTAGTTTTATTAGTCGATAGCCCCATGTGATCCTCCACAATACGAAGAATTCCATCAATCGGATCAAATACAAAATGTGATCTAGAGATCTAAATTGATTAAGTAAAATCCCCTTAACAAGAATTAAAAGTATTACAAAAAAACTCCTAGGAAATAAGTGGGAGTTTCTACGAAGAAATGCAACCCAAAGGACTACGCTAGATCCTTACAGAAAATGGCTCTCTGGTAGTTTTCATCGGGTAAAACTGCAAAACTAAATTGAATACGATGCTTGAACATATTTGACACGTATAATAGGTACAATTGTACTTTGGAAGTCCTTACGGAAAAAATACAAATTTAAGGGATCATATCTCAAAGGGATGAGTTTTTATATGACTAACTGAAACTTTTAATCATTTAACAAGTCGAGAATTACCAGAAAACAAAGTTTCAAAGAGTTTGACAGTCTCATTTTCCTTAAGGATCTAGCAGGGTCCTTTCTACCTATACATATGTCTCTGATTTGAAGTATTCCCAAAATTACCTTATAAACAAATTTTCATGTTACAAACTATTCGAAAAATCCCATATCATCATCCATCCCGATGTTTACGCCTGTGTAGGGATTCTATTGCGAAGAATCCTTCCATGTCAAATACCTGGAAGCCAAATTTGAAATTTTTATATATATACAAAGGTTAATAGCAAAGTCGGTTAATTGGTATCATCTTGAAGTTTAGATTGTTATTGAGATTGCTTTCCCGTGATTGAAGTTTAATCATCCCAACCAGAACATAACCATCAAAATATATGAAATGCGTAAAAGCCCTATCATGTACGTTATTAGGAAATTTTCAAAAAACTTCAAAACTAAAACCTTTACGTAGTGAAGATTAGAGAAGAAATGAGGTCTTGTTGTGTTACGGGGTGGGAATCAAAAACGGATGAATTTTACGTTATGTAATTTATGAACAGCCCCTATTAATAAGGACACATTCCGAAGTCGTTTCTTATAGTTAGTCCGAGTGTTGTGTCGGTTTTCAAATGAGTAACGAAAGCGTTGTTAGCGTACGTTGTAACGGTATATTTTATCGACACACCCGTTTTTTGCACGAACCTCAAACAGAAATAACCTTTTTCATCACACGGCAGGCTCGAGTCCTGGAAAAGGAAACGACGCTATTTTAAATCAAGGCGGCATGTCGTGAGTCGTGGAAACGCCCGCCCCTTCGAGTGAGGGATGCCTCATACTCGTAACGTATTAATTTAATGATATTCTTCCAACACGAAAAGAAGTTGTCAAAATTATTATTATTACCACTGCGATAGCTGCAAAAAGACAGACGATCATTTTGCTGGCTGTCGAGAATTTCCTACCTTTTATCAAAAACATTTAATACGATAGTAAATTGAAAGTTGTAATTTTCTTCTATGGCTTTTGAATGCTTCATTTCCACTAAATATTGGTCCTGGTGGGCAGGCTGTCTCTTCTATCTACATCTGGTGCAAAGCCGATGGATAGAGCGAAAGAAGACAGTCTTTACTTTTCTGATACGTCCCGTTACATCGTCACGGTTGGTCAGAGTTAATTGTTACGTTCGTATAATAAGCCCAAATGATAATTCCCCATTTATTTTTTAAATTAGGTATTTCGATTCTAAAACGCGCTGTTAAGACAGCAGGTAAAAGTTGGTCTGTGTTCTGTCGGAGCTGTCTGCGACGCGCTGCTGAGATCCAAGAAGATAGAATTCGCGATCCGCGTCTGGCAGTTTCGACAGAATACAGACCACTTCGAATTATTTTATTCGATTATGGTAACGTACCCTATCACGTTGAGGTTAGCTACGCCAGGATTCGTTTCAGCAAGTAGATATCCTTATATTGAAATGTACCTTGTTGGAGCATACGTAATCCTAAAATGTAGCATCGTACTACAGATGGCGTTTACCGCGCCATTTGTGGTATTTTCTAAAACGCGCTGTTAAGACAGCAGGTAAAAATTGGTCTGTAATGTAGCATCGTACTACAGATGGCGTTTACCGCGCCATTTGTGGTATTTTCTAAAACGCGCTGTTAAGACAGCAGGTAAAAGTTGGTCTGTGTTCTGTGGGAGCTGTCTGCGACGCGCTGATAGTATCCGAAAATATCGAAATGGCGATCCGCGTCTGGCAGTTTCGACAGAATATAGACCACGAATTATTTTATTATTTCGATTATCTTTTTAGACAGCAACATAGTCTAACTGTAGATGTATTAAAAGAGTTTGTTCGCTCCTGTGGCATTTTTGTCGTATTTCTGGTCATCTTCAAAGTAAACTACTCAAAGAAGCATTTGCTTTCTTTTAATGGAAATTCCTTGCAGAGCGTGCTCTAATTCAGTAAACATCAAACCGACAACTTTCTTTCTGTCAATGGAAAAAAAGCAAATACCTACATTAATGGATTTAGGAGAAAGTGTATTTTAACTGATCGCTACCGTAAAAGTCTTTTACAATAACATTGGAAAAACGTTTTCGTCATAGAAGGTAATCATTTTTCCAAATTACAATTGTGATTATGATTTTAAAGATTACTCAAGTTTACGTAACTAAACTTGTAATAAATATTTACAATTACTAATGTCACTCTTGTCTGTCTGTTTGTATATTCACAGGCAGGTATTTCCTTTTTTCATTGTTATGTAATAGGAAGTAGTTAAGCAATATTTCTTTGGCTCGAGCACAAATATACAATTAGACACTTAACTTGAAATCAGTTATAAATATGTGACTGACCCTTCAAATCTCCCAGAATATAGATTTAGTAGACAAGTATTAACATTAACCCTTTTCAATATAATGATATAAACATACATACAATTTAGACAACTTTTAGAAGTGAGTTAGTTTAATATGAAATAATAATCTGAAAATTCATTTTTGAATTTTTTACCCACTACACGCTACCTTAAATTAATGAGGGAAAAATTGTTGCTGTTCTCACACCCNCCCGGGTTCGATTCCCGGCGGGGGTGTTACAACAGCAACAATTTTTCCCTCATTAATTTGAGGTAGCGTGTAGTGGGTAAAAAATTCAAAAATGAATTTTCAGATTAATATTTTATAATGATATAATTGACTTATTAAAGTTTGTTTTGTATCCAATTACTCAATGTAAATGAAGCCGTTTTATCGGTTGTCAATGATTATACTGATACCGGTAGAGCTTTCTCTCTCGTTTTCCCGATATTATTTAATAACAGTTAAGTCAGTAATTGTAGCACTAATCGGAGGCTTAGCCGGAAAACGAATTAGTTATTTACATGGATAGTGAAAGTAACTTAAAGTGCAAGTGCACAATTTTCTTCGCAACTATTCGATTAAAATATAAATATCGAACAAGAGAACTGGCAATTCATCATGGGCGTACTCTCATGGTCATTAAAAGGTGTACAGGTACTAATAGAGAGAATCAATTTGTGAAGGTAAATACTAACCTAGTTATCAGGTCTAGTTATTTGGAAAGGTATTTGCCATAAACATCGACATACCTATCGTGATCTACAACAAGAAATTGCTTTCAATTGAATAAAAAATGCGACGTTATTCATTAAAGCGCATACACTTGCTATCGAATACTTTCTCCTATATATATATGACTATCCCATAATGTGTTATAAATCACCTCGAACAGATGGTCATCTATTACTTTCTTTACATTTTTTAATTCCTAATTTGACCTGTAAACTATCACGTTAGTATTAATCATATGCAATGTATATCTTATTGTATTTTATTACAAACTTAAAAAAAGTCAACAACAATGAAAATACTGTACACACCATATCATCATCACTCATAGAATAACAAGCAACAAATAATATATAAAAAAATAATAATAAAACAAAACAAAGTTGACAAGATCAGTACGAGAAAAAGAGGGTTTGATCTGGATCATCTACAGCCAGCTTATTCCCATCCCTTCTTTGGTACGTGGTGGTAGACGTGCTTGTAGACTGGTACATGAACTGGGTAGGGTTTGGCAACGTGGACGGGGTAGTGTTTCTCAACTTCGACCTTGTAAGGTTTCTCGATGTAGTGTGGTACCGGTTTTTCCACTGTAATTGGTATTTTCTTTTCGATTTCCTGGGGGACCAACTTGTAAATTGGGATTGGCACGGGTTGAGGTACATTCACGTGGACGGCGTAAGGTTGGGGAACGGGCACCTTGATGACCTGCGGCACCGGGATCCCTACGGGATGCGGTACTGGAATTTGAATCTTCTTCAAAACGGGCACGTGCACGGGTTTAGTGTATTCGATAGTTTTAGTGGGCACGTGGTGGTGTTCGGCCCCAGCGCTGTAATCTTGACCGCCTCCATAGCCTCCGCCGTAACCTCCGCCGTAACCTCCGTCGTGACCCCCATAACCTCCGTCGTTACCTCCTCCGCTCAATTCAATTGACGCGGCAATTTGGTGATCGCCACCACCGCCGCTACCACCACCCCCGGAGGTACCATAGCCTCCAGCATCGCTTGATGCGAAACCAGCATAAGCACCACAGAAGAGGGCGCACAAAGTGGTCAATACCTGTAACGGAAGCAATGATTTAACGGGCGCGTTAGTCATAAATGAATAGAATAGAAGTGTTCAAAAAACGAAGCTCAACATTTATAGTTACCGAGGAAGGGGCTGATCAGTGTTATTTTAAAGTATATTTAAAGCACTACTCATTATTTTTCACATTTTTTAAACTTGAAAACTTGGGGTTGCAGATAATTAATTGCCAAATAAATTAATAGGTGTAGAAATGTAGAAATCATAATAGGATTAATACGATTCCACAAAAAATAATTGTTACTGAACTAGATAAAAGAAACAACAGTGGTACAATCGCAAATATAATTTTAAAAATCGTAAAGTATTTTTAAACTTGAATTTAGAAAATATATTTTTTCGAATCACAAAAATAACGAACTAGTTTTATAAGTATTTCACTTGTTTTCTGTAATGCAAAATATTTGCGATGACCCTGTGCTTCGTGCAAGGGCAAACAGTTACGATTAAATAGCCGTGTAATAACATTTCTTGACCATCACTGACCGCTTTGACGGCCTTTCGCGGCGGCAATTCTTGTTACAATTAAATTCACTTTCACATTTCGTTAATACTTACGATGCCATTCATCTTGTTGCACCTGATTGTTCACCGGAGATACACCAAAGAACTGATGCTCTTGAGAACGCGCTGGGAGGTTTTTATAGTTGTGATTAGGTGGGGCCCCCGGTGAAAGGTCCCTAGCAAACGTTCAAATTATTAAAAAATGATACACGGGCACCTCTTATAAGACACATTTGAAAACGAACGTCGAGATCAAATAGGATTAGGTGTGTATCTGTATCTGTACAAATCTATCGGACGCTATTATTGACGATGACTTTTGATGTCGCGTTTTGGCTTTTTTTAAATTTATTTGTGGTTCTTGGCTTTCTCTTGGTTCTTGGACGAGGGATTTTTTTTTACACAATTTTGTCACGTATTTACGCAAGTGACTATCAAGAAATGAAAACAATTCCTCGAACGCCAAGATCAAAGAATTTGTCAACATGTTTCATTTTCTAACATAAAAAAGTCCGTCATCTACCATTACGTTTTGAAGTTATGTAGGTGTTGATTTTAAGCTTTGAATCTAGACTGACAACGAACTTCTATCATAAAGGTATCATTATTACCTTTTTGACATAAACCGAACTTGAAATTTAACTTGAAATATCTAGGTAGCTAACAAATTGTCATTTTGACAATTCCTTCGTAAAACTCATGTATTTTGTCTCTTATAGTACTTTAATTAAATGTTAACTATTTTGGATTATTTGTAGTAAATACAATTAATATAACCAATACTCCAGATAATTCCCGACAATATCCTCTTTATGTCGGTTTAGCTGCTTCCAATATGAACTAGTATAAACACCCAAATTGTTATACCTGTAGATAATAAGTATCATAACATTGAAATGAGAAAAAGTTATAATTAAGTTAATACTTTCGGGGGCGATTTCAGTGTAAGTGGTATATTATAGACTATATGAACGATTGTGATAAAAATGGGTTCGAAATATCATCATCATAGGGTCGTTAGTCCTAAGACTGGTTGGGAATGCACCTCAACTCTTTCCTATCCTGCGCTTATCTTCGCATTTCCCAAAAACTAGAACATTTTATATCCTTAACTATTTGTGAACTGTAATCTAATTAATAAAAAAACATTGTTAGGTCAGTGTAGAAATCGAGACGAATCTATAATGAAAACCGACGGTTCATTCAAATATGGTGAACAAGCTTGAAAAACAAACGTTCATAATCCATTACCAAAGCGTGACCGCGAAGCTAAGGATAACTATACATTTATGTAAAGTTGATTTTCAGGTCGAAGTATTTCACATGAAAGAAGTAACGCTAATGATGGCTCTATTTTGATTGTTACATAAAATAAAAATGAGCAAATAAGTGTTTAATAGAAGAAGACTTTTAGTTATCTCCTCATAAGTATCTAGGTTATTTTTACCATATGTATGTCTTTCAACAAATTGCAACAAAACAACATAAAAAAATGAAATCCAAAAATAATAAATTTTATTGCAGTGTATTCACATTAGTGTCTTCACAGACCTAAATGTCTCTTGCGTACATACATACATATAATAAAACTCTCTTTTGTCAGTTTTTTACAAATAGATTTCCGCTTTTTTTTAAGGAAAAATACGGTTGGTGTAAAGTTCAGAATGCAAAATGCAAAAGCTTTCTCTACTTGAAATGTGACCAGTATATTAAATTATGCGAAATAGATGTACATTTATGCAAAGTTGAGTGTCCTTTCTGTCTAAATTCTACTTTTTAATAAACCAACTGTTCGCCATTGGACACAAGTTCACTACCAGAAAAAAAAACCTACTTGATGTACATTTACTTCCGAAGAAGCTTGAGTCAGCAGGCCGAAATTCATTAGACTTTCCATTGAAAAAGGATGCATCTATAAATTAATTTAATCGCACTTGTATGAATATGTTGCTTATTACATTAATTCGAAAAGTTTACTTTCACACTTTTGCGAAAATGGTATTAGGTGCCCACATTATTAACCACAATAATATAAGAAAACGTGAACAACTTGGAATACAACGGACTCTTTTGTACCAACAGCTGGCTTACGTTGATTATCATCGATACATAATTCATTGCGCCTTTTAATAATGATAATAATTAATGAAAAATAATCACGATTTATAAAGGACAACACAAACAACAACTGTAAAATGCATAAGTATATATATATACCGCATGCGTAAGATTAAACCATAAGTGAACGAATTGGGCGGGGTCCAAAAATCATTTTTGAGTGCTGTAGTATTTTGAAGACTTCGAGGTCTCCGTGTCCTTGAAGGGAGCACGTGATGTCACTATCCTTTCAGCACTTGCGTTACTGTCGCTGCAGTTGACGAAAAATCTGTTTATGTATTTATTGACATTCAAATGTATCTATTTATTTGCCATATTTAAAAAAATTGACTCATAAATTTAAGAGTGACATATTATAACTCAATACCACGATTCGCAGTTTCGCATACTGTATCAAATAGGATTAGGTGTGTATCTGTATCTGTACAAATCTGTCGGACGCTATTATTGACAATGACTTTTGATGTCGCGTTTTGGCTTTTTTTAAATTTATTTGTGGTTCTTGGCTTTCTCTTGGTTCTTGGACGAGGGATTTTTTTTACACATTTTTACATATTTATTTGCCATATTTAAAAAAATTGACTCATAAATTTAAGAGTGACATATTATAACTCAATACCACGATTCGCAGTTTCGCATACTGTATAGAATACAAGATACCTACTTTGATGCGATTGCAGGAATTTTAATAATTAAATTTTCTCGGATTTCTCTGCAAGTACACCCATATCTGGAATCGAACTTATTGATTATTAAACAATTAATAAATGCAGCTTCAATGTCTCGGTCAAGTTTACTAATACGTACAAAAAGTATGTGCGAAAAACTACTAATTAATTAACCGCGTATCTGTCAATTTCTATTACATATATTATTATAGATAGAAATTGGAGGTGCATGTATAAGAATTAACCAGGTGTTATTTTTAAGTCTATTAATAAGCCAATTATTGAAAAATCATTAGGTATCATGAACAAATTCTTTTAATGCTGTTAAAGGTTTTCGCGGTTAGTTTTTTTTTTCGTAACGTTTTCTCGACTGCTGTTGTAGACTTCTTTAGTGAAGTATCAAATTATAAAGTTACGAGGATGTAATATTGATGATAATATGTATATTAGGCGTTCAAATTATTTATTAATTTTCGCGATTAAAAAGACGATAACACGGAAAAAGTTCATTAAACAGATTATAATTACGTAAAAGAAACACCGGAACAATTTTACTTTCTATTTTATCCTATTGTTTGGAAGATATCCACTGTACATACATACAAGACATACACAAACGTATTAGGTACATACTACTTATTTATAGTATACACGTGTACACTTAAATGTGTGTGTATGCGTGTAAAGATAATTAGCTGGTGAATGTCCTTCAAGGAAACGATAAAACTATGTACCTACGATATAATAGGAATAACAATAATACTGTATTGTAATAGTACAAAAAAAAAAATTTGGTATGTGGTTGGTTTTTAATGACTGGACCCAAGGGGTATAATTTCCCCTTACAAGAGTACTGAGAAAATTAGAATTAACTAAAAAAAATATAATAAAATAATTTTGCCTTAAACAACAATAAAACTGCCCGAAAATTTTGTCGTATTTGTCTTTGTCATCCCCGGGTTTATGAAATACTTTAAATAAATGTCGTTTTTCTTAAGAAAGGCTTTAAATTTTTTTTTTGTTTGAGAAAGTCCTATAAAACCTAAATAATTTACACAAAATGTAAATGAAGTAACCTAACGTGTTATCATTTTGTTTACTAGAGCATTTATTATTTATTTTGAAAGTGTGATGTTTCTTGCTTGCTTCCTCTTGATTCCACTATCAAATAGTGTTGGACGATTTTCATCAGCTACTTTATATATGGTACCTATATCTACTCTTCGCATAAATGGTAGACGTTTATAATTCGTTTGGTGTGAATGTACGACGACCTTAGGCATAAAATCGAGAGAAAAAATTTGATATTAGAAATACACAACATTATGTGTGTATCTGTCTGTCTGTGTATGCGTTTAATAATATCTATCTATCTCTAAGAATCCGAAGACCTTTCTCTTTCACTGACGAAAGTGAACGTATTTATCAACATTATTTCGCTGGTCAAACACCGGCGGACTTCTTCGGTATTATTACACTCATTTTACTACCTTCCGTTTTTTTTAATGAGCATCAACTTGAAGACCAAAAAAATATGTTGGGAGCGCGTTTTCTCTCATTATATACAATGTCTTACGTTTACGATTAGGATATATGCATGTGTTAAATGGACAGCATTGAAGTGTTTGATTTGAACAACGCGTTTTTGTTGTACAAAATACAAAGCTCCCGCGGTCGTCATCTACCCAAGTCGATAATTTTCTGTTGAAAAAATACTAAACGCTTTGCTATCATAACTTCAACCAATTTAAGACTAGTGTCAAAAACCTTTGCTGTGATTTGTCCCACAATGTTTAAGGAAAGTTCGTAACCTTTTATATTTTTGAACAATTGCTATTCAAATTACGAGAAAGCTCTTGAACCAACGAAGAGACAAAGAAAGAGAACATCTTAAATGTCTGTAAATAATACACAACTTTAGTTTAGATTATGTTCTGCTGATTGTGTGTACCTAGTGTTGCAATATTTAATTGCATTTCGATTGTAATGTAGTCTTTCGAGCAGGTGTAGTTGCCTTTTGTTCATCGTGATAAATTGATAGATATGGCTAACAGTTCTTAGTGCAGAAGGCGAAGGTTTAAGTGCAGAGTGTACTTAAATGCGTAATGTTTGACACCAAAAGGTGCGATCGACAGCTGGTAGCGCTACTTGGGCTACGAGAACCCATAAATTACGATAATGGAACCTTAGAGATGGTTTTGCTTAGTTCATCATTAACATACAAGTTTAGCACATAAGTTATAATTATGTACGCACCTATATCAAAGGGTAGGTTTTCCATGAGAACATGAAACAAAACAATTCAATGTTTTTAGGGTATCGATACAACATTAGGGTAGAAGTGGACTTATAATGTCTGTGACAGATCCGTCCCGATCTTTGTCACAAATTCATACGTCCAAAATCCTTCGCCAAATTA